TCTCTCCACATCACCATCAGCATTCTTCTTTATTTTGTATACCCATTTCACTCCAATTGCTCGATGAACCTAAGAAAGAGTCGTTAACTCCCAAGTGTTGTTCTTTTCTATTGATTCGATTCGCTCTTCCATGGCTTGTCTCTACCTTTTGTATGTAATAGTTTCAACAAAGTTAATTGGTTCACTATCATCAAAAAGACAATATAAAAAATCAAAATTAGTAACTTCTTTTGCGCCCTCATAGAGCTTTTGAATTCCCCTCGTCCTTTGTGGTTGTTCGTTTGAACTTTCTTGAGAAGAAGGAGATGCAACATTGGTTGGAAAAGGAAGTGGAGTTGTATCCTGCACAGATTCCATGGTCTCTGGTTCTTATTCATCACCATAGTATGGAAGAAAATCATATGAAGTTTCTTCCTGAGCTTCCCAATTCCATACCAATTCTTCATCAAATTCAACATCACAACTTACCACCACCTTGCTGATGCTTGGGTTGTATAACTCCTAGCCTTTTGAACTCGTATCATAGCCAACAAACACCTACTTGATACTTCGATCATCAAGCTTCGCTCTCCCTTGTTGTGGCACATGATAATAGGCTATTCTCCCAAAGATTCTCAAATGCTTGACACTTGGTTTTCTTCCACTCCATGCTTCTTGAGGAGTTTGATCTCTAACATTCCTTGTTGGAGACCTGTTCTTTGAGCATATTTTTAGCTTTTAACATACATCTATCCACATTAAAAATCGTTCGATTCTTTCTCTCTGCAACTCTATTTTGTTGGGGTGAATAAGGTATCGTTAGAGGGAGAAAAATTCCATGAGACTGACAAAAATTATTAAAATCTTTTGAACTGAATTTGCCTCTTCTATCGGACCTTAAACCTTTTGTTTCATAGCCACTTTCTTTTTCCACAAGTACTTTAAAATTTTTAAAAACAACAAAAGCTTTAGATTTTTGGTTCAAGAAATAAACTCAAGTGTTTCTGCTAAAGTCATCAATGAAGAGCATAAAGTATTTACTTTTACCAAAGGAATGTGGATTGATTGGTCCACACACATCAATGTGAACAAGCTGGAGCGGCTTGGTTGATCTTGACATGGCCTCCTTTGGAAAACTCCTCCTTGCATGTTTTCCAAGAATACAAGCTTCACACAATTGATTTGGATTGTTGATTGATGGTTTCACATGCACCAAGTTCTTTTCTCACATTCATCTTGCACATTAGCCTTCAAATATTTTGCATTAATTGTCTTAAGATTCAGAGAAAATAACCTATTCTTTTCCATATGCACTTTAGCAATTAGAATTCAACTTGAATGTATAAGCCAAAGGTGCATATTTTTCATGTGGATGTCATATCCCTTTTCAAGAAGTTGTCCCAAACTCAAAATATTACTTTTTAGTTTTGGCACATAATAAACATCTTGAATTAACGTGTGGCCACCATTTTTATAGGATATTAGAATCGTACATATCCCTTCTATTTGAATCTTTGAAGTATCTCCAAAGGACATATTACCTCTCACCATTTTATTGATCTCTACAAACTTCTCTTTGCATCCACACGTATGATTGCTTAGTCCATTGTCCAAATACCACGAGCTACAATCATCCATATCTTCTTCTCTTAGTTCCAGCAACAATGTTGACACATCTTCTTCTTTCTTGTCGTCAACAAGGTTAGCTTTCTCTTCAACGTTTCTACGACATTCGCAAGAAAAATGACCAAACTTATGACAATTATAACACTTAATTTTTAATTTGTCATACCTTTGTCCATTATTTTCATGATAGCAGCCACGTCATCTTCCTCCTCTTTGTCCACGACCACGACCTCTAAATGTTTGATGGATTTTAACTTCATTATTGAAGTTGTTATCATTACTTCTACTTCTTCCATTACGTCAACGGCCTCTTACTCGTCCATTCCCTCGATAGCTTTTTTCACTTCTATAATCCTTAAAGGATGCCTGAGTTTTAAGAAGTTGCTCCAGTGGCACTTCTTGTCTCCTCTTGATCTTTTCTTCATGGGCCTATAAAGAACCCTCTAATTACTCTACCATTATAGAGTCTAAATCTTTAGACTCCTCAATATGACACACCACAAAGTAAAATTTAGGTGTTAAAGTGTGAATGATCTTTTCTACCACACGGTCATCTTTTATGTCCTCCCAGTATCTTCTTAATTGATTCACAATAGCCTTCATTTTTGACCAATAATCTGAAATGCATTCGGATTCCTTCATTTTAAAACTTCAAAATCAGCCCTTAGAGTTTGAAATTTTACCTTCCTTACTTTGTCAATTCCTTGGAGAGAATTTTATAAAATCTCCCAAGCTTCCTTTAAGGTGGTAGCATCTGCCACCTTCTGAAACATGGCATCATCCAAACATTGGTGGATGAGAATGAGAGCTTGTCAATCCTTCTTTCTTGTATTTGCCAAGATATCCTTTTCATTTTGAATCAGAGCTTTCTCATTATCGGGTTTTGCATACCCTCTGTCTACGATTTTCCACACATCCTGGGAGCCAAGAATGGCTTTCATACGTAGACACCATTTCTTATAATTATCTTTTGTGAGACGAGGACACTGAAATGACAGCGAACTATTATTTGTCATGGCTCTTACACCACGTTGTTGGAAAAAATAATATTTCGCCCAAGAATAATATCTACGGTAAATAATAATAATACAAGAGAGTAACAACGACACCAAATCTTTTAACAGGGTAAAATACAATAACCAAGCGGAACAATATAATACCACTATAATATTATAATTTAATAGTGTCAAGAGACTACTACAACTTCGAAAGAAATAAATTCTCTTTATTTTAAAGATCTCACTACAATATTACTCACACTCAATATTTATCTCATATATTATAATCCGTGGATTATTCTCTCTAACTTTCTTTGGCTTCTCTCGATATTGGTGTGTTTGAAATGAAGAACGGATGCTCCTATTTATAGTAGAAGACGTTGTCCCTTGCAACCAATCAGATTGTTATCTCTTTGCAATTTGCATTTACAAGTTGCAGATCTTGTTATCAAGTTGGTTGCCAAGCCTGTGTTTGTGAAAATCAATTGCACCACTTGACATTATCTTTTCTTTATTCTTTTTCTTTTAGTTATTTTGTTTTAATTGGTCCCACATAAATTACAAATGTGATTAATTCTAATGAAAAATGAGTTAGTTCACAAACAATATTAGTCACAATAAAGAACACGTATATCATCACCGAGCCATAAACATTAGAATAGGAAGAGGGGTGCCCTTTTTCAACATATTCGCAAGAGACCGGAACCAAAATATTATAAATTTTGACTTAAAAAATAAAAATAGGTAAAAAAGAGTGCTGAAAATTATATTATGTATAACGCATCTAAAACATGCGATATACATTAATTGTCAATTACCCCGTTAAAATATAACGTATGTAATATATGAGCTATACTCAGTATTTGCAGCTAATGATTGATTGCATAACACATCAATTATATGCACTATATATACCCCAATCATATCGAGGCTAAACTTAAGGGTTGTTTTTGGTTGAACACTGGAACTATCATTTTGTGTTTGTTCTCTAATGCATTAATAGTCGAATTGCGTGACTTGGAAACCTTTTTGTGTTGGGCAATTAAAAATGATGACTTTCTCAAAGAACAAATGATGACGTTCACGTTCTAAAAACAGAGTATTAGCCTAACTTTTTATACTATCGATAAGTATGTTCCCTAGAAGATAAAGTAGACTATGGCATTGAAAACTAATTCCTGATACAGATTCTGCCAGAGAGTAAAATAAGTCAAAAATTCATAAATACATAAATATATAAAAATTCACAGAGTTACATGGGTTAATTTTCAAGTTAAATTGTTAATTATACTGAAAAGATAACTTATAAACCATGTTTTATGTGATTTTCTTGAAATAAAGAACATACCAGAGGAGTGAGAGGAGATACATAGTGCATATAATTGATGTGTTATACAGTCAATTGTTATGGCTGCAAATACTAAGTATATCACATATATTACATGTGTTATATCTTAACGAGGTAACTGGTCGTTAAGGTATAGTGCATGTTTTAGATGCGCTATACATAATATAGTACTCAATAATTTTTCACTTATTTTTATCTCTTGAGTCAAAATTTACAATATATTGGTTCTGGTACATGTTCGTAACAATTTGCAGAAATAACATAACTTTGATTAAATTCAACTATCCAGCTCGATCTCACTACTCCGGCCAAAGATTCCCTTAATTTTGTAGTAGGGTGATAAAAGAGATTTCCCAGCAATTAATTAGTCACATTACACTTCCCATTCTGACTTGTATCCACTTTTGTTCATATCACTACTAGAAAACAGTCAAAAAACGTCCAGAAAAACCGACCTAAATCGAACAAAAACCGATTGATTTTCAATCATTTTCAATTAGTCGAAAAAACAATGATCGCTAATGGGGAGTGACCGCAAACGGTCGATATTTCCGACCGAAGTCGGTCGGTAATTGCCAACACACTTTGACCAAGTTATCTGACACAATAAATTTACCGACCGAATTCGGTCGGTATTCTTGAAAATAATTTTTAATTATTTTTAAATTAGTGACCGACTTCGATCGTAATTTTAATTATCCATTTTTTTGGAATTGTTCAATTCTGACCGAAGTCGGTCGGTATTATTAAAATATTTAATATTTAAAATAAAAAAGCTCGACCGAAGTCGATCGGTAAATTTAAATTTTCAGGAAATCAAATGAACATTTCCAACCGACTTAGAACGGTAGGCGATCGGTTTTCTGAGTCGGTCGATATTATTAAAATATTTAATATTTAAAATAAAAAATCACAACCGAAGTCGATCGGTAAATTTAAATTTCTGGAAAATCAAATAAACATTTCCAACCGACTTCGAACGGTAGGCAATCGGTTTTCTGAGTAAGTTTTTGGCATAATACAACTGTTTTATAGTCGCACCACCCGCCAACAACCAATCACCTATAATGGCAGCATTACATTGCTGTCATTCAACCAATAACAACAATAACAACTATTAAAACTATATTAACAAAACATCATCTCCATATCCACTAAACTATATTAACAAAACATCATACCCAACAACAAAATGTTTCACAAGTTAAAAGTTCAAACATCATTCAATGAGTGTTTTGAACTACATCAACTCCGTCTCCACTACTAAAAGTCTCATCGTCGGCATGGTTCGAAGGATTACGACGAGAAGGATTAGCATATGGGGAAGGATCACGAAACCGGGGAATCGGGAAAGCACCACGAAACCGGGGAATCGGGAAAGCACCACTAGCAAGAAAATTGGCCAGCTGACCTTAGAGGACATTAAATTGTTGGTCCCTCTTTTCTAGCTGAACTCGAAGGTATCAAATTGTTTATCTCTCTTTTATTCTCTAGTCTTTGTCTCTTTAAGCTTTGATGTTAGCTTTGTAATCTTCTTCTCCATAGTCGAGAGAGTCGACCTATCAATTGCCTCGCCCTGGGTGGAAGTCCCTATACCTTGCAATCCAGCCCTATAGCGCCGAAATTATCTCTCTGGAAGGTCGTATGCTATCCCCGTTTTAGGACCACCGATAACATCCAACCATATCTTCTGCGCTTCTTTGTCTGAAAGGGGTGGTCGCTCTCGTTGCTCGTTCGGTGGCAAGCTCTGAGTGTACTCATCCACATTAGTCTTCTAGCGACCATTTATTTAGAAGATAGAAAATTATTAACTATATAATATTATAAAAATTAATTTCAAGTTATAGTAGTTATGAAACTTACATATGTAGTCTTCATCCGGTCCTCGACCCATCTAGTTGGATCTGTCGATACCTTCTTCTTCCGGGTGTGAGTCTCCATGAAGAACTCATCACGAGTCATCTCCCTCTCATATTTTTTTCCCTACAAATATAATAAAACATGTCAACTAAATTAAAATATATAAATATAGTTCGATAAAAATAAATTTAAATATTTTAAGTAATTACCAGTAGTCTCCTCGCAATCCCCATGCTCCTTGCACCCACAGAGTGCAAGGGGCCACCCTTCTCAAATGCTCGGGCCTTCTTTCCCTGTTCATTCTCTCAAATGCTCGGGCCTTCTTTCCCTGTTCACTCCTCCTCTCGAATTTTTCAGTTGCCCACTGTCTCATCAGCTCCTCCCATAAAAGTAGTAAACTCTTCTTGCTTAATGTTGCTCAACTTTAGAACCAATACTCAACGTCAACAACCAAAGAAAAAATATAAGATCGATCAATCAATCAAAATGAGAGAGTACATTCATTAGCGGCAGCTTATTTTCATCTTAGTAGATTTTATTATGGAAATAACTTCAATATTTATTCACCCACTATATAAGCACTTCGTCCATTTATTGATGCATTCAATATTCATACTGGAATGATCAATGATGTTAGTTAACATTGAGGTGTCAATTTCTATGACATCCGAACTACTTGAGAATAGAACATAATGCTTGATATCAAAGCCTAAAAAAGGGTAGTCAGTGCACGAATATCCTGCGTGAGAGAAGGATCTATCCTAACACAAGTATCAACGACTAATTTCACGACTAAACCTATGACCTATTGATCACACCAAGACAATTTTACACATGCTCCAAAGCTCACCTTCATATAATATCTAAGGCTAATAAGCATTATTACTTTAAAAAGAAAAGAGCTAAGTCGGGGGAGAACAATGAGAAAATTCATGACATAAAGCAAGAGGGTAAATTAATCCCGTCCATGTTTAACTAGAATTCCCTCATCAAATGGCATGACATAACACGATAAGAACAATAATCATAAATTAATCCTAACATGAATGTCTTCTACATCATTGTAAATGTAATAGTTCAACCAAAGTAGTTGAGATACATCCCAAAGACCACAAGATAACTCCGTAAAATGACAGACCATTGTTAATTTGGTTAATAAAAAAATTTAACTATTTTACTCTAAGCACAAGGTGAAACAGTATGGCTGACGAGACAACCATAAATAGCAGGTGAAGACATCAGTGTAAAGTACAGACCAGCTCCATTTTACTGACCTTACCTTGTCTATTCTCGTGAAGCTCTTGTTGTCCATATCATACCACTCAAGACTCTCATAATCAACATCCATTAGAATTTTCCCTTCCTTATGATCCAGAATATTGATAAACCCCAAGTCAAGCTAGGTCAATAGTGTACTCTTTAACCCACGTATAACTCTTTGAATCCTTCAACACCCAAATATCCATGGTAGATACATCCTCAGGTGAACCAAACAACCACAACATCCCCTTCAAGTCCGACAAAGACCAAATTCCGTCATCATCAAAAGTACCCTTTGGTAGCACCACTGTACCAAACTACCAAAGTCCTCTTTTTCCAAATCAAATGAAATTATTTTTTCAATGCTATCATACTTGTCCCTGTATCCAATGAAAATTATTTTCAACCACAACGCCACACCAGCTTAGCAGTTAGCATATACGGGCATTTTTCATCAAAAACCATCCAAGAATGATTTTTCAAACAACAATCATCAGTCAACCTCATGACTTCACACACAATGAAATTATTAACCAAAACATACTCATTTCTCTCCTTTATATATCCAAACGCAGTACCGTCCAAAGTAGCAGAACTAGTAGGAGTATTGGGTAATTTAACCAATTCTTGAGTACTTGGGTTACATACATAAAACCCTTTGCCTTTGGAACCAAAAAAGTAAATCAACTCCCATTTAGAAGGTATGAAATAGACATAACTATCCAAATTGAATGTAAAGTCAAAATTATGATTCCCATCAAAATCAACTATCACATAAGAAGTGGGTTGCTCTAGTAATGAGAGCCCTCCAATTCCAATAAAGAGTTTATGAGACAGCCGAGGCTCTATCGGACACAGCCTCTCTAACTCAGGGCAGGGATAAGTTCTGCTTACACACTAACTTTTTCATACCTCCTAGTGAGATTATACTGAGTTGTTGTTATTGTTGACATACTTACTCTGCCAGTAGAGGTACTGCAGCATTTTTGTTCGAGCAAAACCAAACTGGGTTTAAGAGATGAGCATGCTCTGTGAAGGAATTTGAAAAATGGGTCAGAGATTAAGCTTCTCCATTCTTTGCAAACGCACCTTAACATGCACAATGTCTTTGCCCGTAGCCTTGAGAAGATGTCCATCATCACATCCTTCGACAACATTATCAATTTATCATCTCTGCTCCGGAAGAAGCTGCTGTTGATTTTGACAATTTTAGGGTTTCCTTCTTCATCTTCATTTCTCTGTTTTTGTGTTTTGTACTGTCAATAAGAACCCTTTCGTCTCAATTTTTGTTTCAATTGAAGAAACTCCGGGCCTTCATTTCTCTACTGAGTTACAACGAAGCGCTAGCATTGTAAAGGCCTGAACCCCCTTCCTTCTTACTCTTAATCACCTTTTGCCAACTAACAAAGTGACATTTCTTTTACTTTTTTTCTTTTCCATAGTAATACCCCAAAGAAAGTGTCTTTGTATTTGGTTTTACATAACATGGTTAGGGTAGCAGCTAAAGTTTCTTTAATCAAAGTCGCCATACTCAAGAGGCTCGTTTTCCGTCCCCGGGTCTATTTTTTCGACAATATCGTATTTCATTGTAAAACAATCTTACATATATAGCATGTTTGGCCAAACTACAAAAATTAAGTGTATTTTTTCAGTTTGTATTTGGTTAATTAATTTGAAAAATACTTTTGAGCAGCACTTAGTGTTTGGCCAAACTTTTAAAAAATACTTCTAAGTGTATTTTTCTTAAAAGTATTTTTCAAAAAAGTGATTTCGAAGAGAAACTATTTTTTTTTACTTCTTCAAAACTAATTCTGTTTTTCCTCAAAAGCTCTTTTTTTTTCTTTCAAAAGCTTGGCCAAACACTTTAATTTAAAAAAAAAACTCTTTTTTAGCTTCTCAGATTGGAGAAGCTTGGCCAAACAAACTAATAGTTTGCATCAGCCTTAGAGGCATTATTTGAGAAATTTATTTCAAAATTTTGAAAGAGGGCGTTGTCCTTTAAATGGATTGAGAAGGAAATAGATTCATTCTTTTCGAAATGGGGAGAGTATTTATTTTTTGTCTTTCAAAAGTCACTTTACTTTAATTTTATATTTTTCGATGAGTTTTAATGATGTGGTAAAAATTAATTTTAAAAAAAATAACTAAAACACGAATTTAGAAGATGAACTATTTTAATTCCAACATCTTTTTACCCAATACCTGACCCGGCCCACATACATGGGTCACTTTAACAGCTTTGCTTATAACGACCCGACCAGTCGTTTGAGCTTTAGCGTTTCGTTCGGCGGTTTAAGGTCTTGATTAGTTTCGTATCATATATTATGACTTGCGTGTATGGTCGGTTTCGATTTTCGAGCGTTTCGGGATTTGTTTGGAAGAATGATTCTCATTTTAGAAGATTTAAGTTGGAAGAGTTGACCAAGTTGGACTTTTACGTATTTGATCTCGGATTGGAGTTTTGATGGTTCTGTTAAGTCCAGAGGGTGATTTTGGATTTAAGCGTATGTCCGGATTTGGATTTGGAGGTCCTAGGTTGATTTATCTTATTTTGCTGAAAGTTTGACAATTTGAAGGTTTAGAATTTTTTTAAGTTTGACCATGGTTTGAATTTATTGCTATCGGGTTCGGATTTCGGTTTAGGGACTTGGAATAGGTCTGTTTTGTCATTTGTAACTTGTCTGCAAAGTTTAGCGTCATTCCGAATTGGTTTGAGAGGAATCACACGCTTGGTTGTGATTCTAGTGCTTTTTGAGTTCATTATGAAATTTCATGTGTTTTAATATTCGATTCGTGGTTCTGGATGTTATCTTGGTATTTTTATCACACGAGCGAGTTCGTATGATGTTCTTAGACTTGCGTGGATATTTGGTATGGAGCTTTGAGGGCTTGGGTGAGTTTCAGACGTGTTTCATGGAATTTGAGAGAGTTTTGATTTTACTGGTGTTCGGTTCTCGCATATGCAAGGGGTTGGTCGCATTTGCGAGATATTTCTCGCTTTTGCGAAGAGGGCTAGGGACTAGGGAATTTGTATTTTCGAACCATCCGATTGCATTTGCGATGACACCTGGGCAGGGGAGTTTTCACATTTGTGACATTTTTGTCGCTTTTGCGAAATGCTTTTGTTTGCATTTGCGAACTATATGTCAATTTTGCGACTTCCTCATAGTCTGTCAGTGGTCGCTTTTGCGATCCTTTTTCATATTTGCGGGGTTCGCAAATGCGGACCCCATGTCGCAAAATGTGATACCTACACCTCGTTATAAATTTTGTATTTCGGGACATAGCTTCATTTTATCACTTTTTGAGCCCTAGACTCGATGAGAGGCGATTTAGTGGAGAGATTTTTATACCAAACTATTGGGTAAGTATTTTAATCCATTTTTGATTGCATACCATGATTGTTTATGAGATTTAACATCTAAACCAAAAAATTTGAAGAGAATATTTTGGGAATTTTGTCTATGTTTTGAAAAATAAAAATTTAAGATTTCAGAGTTGAATTGGACTCGGACTTGAAAACAAAACACATATATGGACTCTTTATGTTATGAGTAGACGAGATCTACCCTTGGACTCGAGTTCTGACCGTGCAGGACTGGGTTGACTTTTGAAAAATTGTGTAAAGATCTTAACTTTATTTATTGAAATTAGTTTCTCTTGCACTATTTGATGTTATTAAGTCGATTTTGGTTAGATTTGAGCCGAGCAGAGGTAAAAATTTGAAGGAAAAGCTATTTTTAGTGTTGATTTGGCCTAGTTGAGGTAAGTATCTCGCCTAACTTTATGTGGGGGAACTACCCCGTAGGGTTTGGTTTAATTGAACTATTTGAATTATATGTGAAAATTGACCGGTTTAGGCTCTTAGGTTTCTTATATGCATTCAATTGAGTTTGTCATATTGTGTTATATCTTTCATTGTCGAGTTTACTCTTATATTCTTTAATTGAAGTTGTTAGTACATGTTCTATCTTTCATTGTCGAGTTTACTCTTATATTCTTTAATTGAAGTTGTTAGTACATGTTCTATCTTTCATTGTCGAGTTTACTCTTATATATTATAATTGTAGTTGTTATAACATGTTCTATCTTTCATTGTCGAGTTTACTCTTATATATTATAATTGTAGTTGTTATAACATGTTCTATCTTTCATTGTCGAGTTTACTCTTATATGCATTTAATTGAGGTTGTTATTACATGTCATATCTTTCATTGTTGAGTTTATTCTTATGCATTTAATTGGAGTTGTAGTTATTGAGAGCTATCAACATGTTTTAACTGAAGTTGTTGTTTTATGGAATATCTTTCATTGTTGAGTTATTTCTGTTTCATTGTGTTGTTGTTGAGACTCTTGTATACATTGCTGTTAAGTCGTGGGCTGTGTGTTATTGTGATATTAGTATTATTTTTTTGGCAATGTTGTGGCATATGAGCACGTGTGGTGCTAGTTGATATGTTGTGTTGATTTTGACTTTGGCACACGTGAAATTATTGAGAGGATTATCGGAGTGTTTGCATGAGGTTTTTGTCGTGCCATTGTTATTATTGATATTTGCGCACGAGGTTTTTGTCGGGTTTCCCATTAATGGTAGGCTAGGAACTCATATTTTTAACTATATTTTTCACTCTAATTACTACACTTTGATTATATTTGAGCCTAATTGTTAGTATATTGTACTTAATACGTGTGTTATGTTGTGTAGGATGTGATTTCAGTTGAAGAAGCAAGTTTGGAGCTAAAATGAGTGATTTGGAGCTTTGAAGTCTGAGTAGAAGCCCAAGAAATTAAGTCGGGATCACGTTCGGGGATCGAGGAACATCTAGTGCAAAATTCATGCAGAGTGGGAAAAAATCTGCTCTCTGAACTTTCTAACTAGCGCATCGCATGGGGCGACGGGAGGTGCACCGCGTATGTGTATTTTCCTGTAATGACCTAGCCGATCGTTTTGAGCATTTTCATCTCGTTCAGTTGTTTGAAGTCTTGAGTAGCTTCATATGATATACTATGACTTGTGCGAATCGTCAACTTTAGTTTTCAGGTGATTTAGAATTTATTTGGAAGAATGAATCTCATGTTAGAAGCTTTAAGTTGGAAGAGTTGACCAAGTTTGACTTTTGTGTATTTGACCCCGGATCAGAGTTTTGATGGTTCCTTTAGGTCCGGATGGTAATTTTGGATTTGGGCATATGCCCGAATTTTCATTTGGATATTTCTAGAAGGATTCGGCACTATTTTGGATATTTGAGGTGCGATTTGTGATTTTGATGTTGTTATGTGTGATTTGAGGCCTTGAGTGGGTCCGCGTTATGTTTTGGAACTTGTTGGTATGCTTGGACGGGGTTCCAACGGGCTCGGGTGGTTTTCAGATGTAGTTCGGATCATTTCTGATGGTTTTTGCATTGCTAGTTGTTGGTGTGTCTGCATAGCAATGCGATTGCGAAGCAGGGAACGCGATTGCATCGAGTAATTCTGGAGCTGGGTATCTTCGTCTTCGCGTTCGCAAATATTTGACCGTGTTTGTGTAGGTTGCTGGATCTTGAGCGTTTGCGCAAGTGATTATACGTTTATCCAGTGTAGAGCTAGGCTAGGCAGGTCTTCATGATTTCTTCATCGCGTTCGCGCTAGAGTATCCGCATTCGCGTTGGTCTGTGCGTATGTTCATCGCGATCACGAGCCTGGGGCCGCGTTCATGTAGAGATTCTTCGAGGTTGAGAATTTTGTGCTTCGCGATCGCGAATAGTATACCTGGGCAGTGTTTATAAGGTACTATATTTCAAAGGTTTCACATATTTTATCATATTTTGAGCTATGGAGCTCGGATTTGGGCGATTTTGGAGGCGATTTTCATCACATAAATTGGGCTAAGTTTTTTCTACTCAATTTTGATTATATTTCATGAATTTATATTCATTTTTGGCATTTGATTTATGATTTTAAAAGAGAAATTGGGGGGTTTTGTCTAAACTTTCCTAAAGTGAAGTTTTGAGTTTTGAAAATCGATTCGAAGTTGGAATTGAATGAAATTAGTATGGTTGGGCTCATAATTGAATGAGTTATCGGATTTTATAAGTTTTGTCGATTTCCGAGGTGCAAGCTCGGATTTGACTTTTTGGCTGACTTTGAGTACTTGATTTTATCGTTTGGGTTTGCTTCCTGTGGCATTATTTGATGATTTCAAGTTGTTTTTTGCTAGTTCCAGGACGTTAGGAGGTCGATTTGAGCGGGATGGCGCTTCTAGTGTATCAATTTTGCCGTTTTAAGGTAAGTGTCTTGCCTAACTTTGTTGGAAAAAATTTTCTACTAATTGATAGTGTTTGCTACATATGGGAGTGATGCATATATGGGGTGACGAACGTATATGCATGTACCAGGGTTAATCATGCTCGGGGGTAGATTATACGATATTTTGTGCCTTGTTGAATATGTGACCTTCTTGCTTCATGTTTTACTTGACTTCTAGATTAATATGAATATGAAGTTAAATGCAAGAAACCATAATTTAGTGGGCATTTGGACATAAGAATTGTAAAATTTCAAAAA